GTGAACACAAATTAGTTAGCATAAATCAGTTAAATGATGAAAAATTAGGTATCTATTTACTTGTGACCACTCAGTGTACAGGAGTCACTTATTTCTTGAAATTTGAAAATCCAAAAAAATAATAATGCTATTTGTTTGTAGTTAAGCACATATCTCCACAATGGTCTATCAGTACTCTGCTCATCGCAGGTATCTAAACTTGATATTTAACGGTATAAGCCCTCAGTCTTACCGCTGAACCACGGAGGAGAAGGGAGCAAAGGATACTGAACATATAACCACTGTAATTGTATGCACTGTTTTTCTGAGAGCTATATGTATTCAATGGATCGAGTGAAACTCAAATCGTTCGGGCCTTTATTAGATCTTACTGAAGTATCTGTCACAGTTTATTTTAACCTTTTTTTAGAACTTATATATTTATGGAATTAAAGTAACGATATGTATTCTAGGATAAATGATGCTAAAAAGTAAATTGACACGTCTAAATAAAAGCTTTTTCCAGTTTATTTTGTGCAACGTTTCGAGCAGATGCCCTTCGTCAGGTAATAAATACCACGCGTGACAAAGGGCGTCTCCTCGAAACGTTGCACAAAATAAACTAAAAATAAAATATTTCATTTAGACCTGTCAATTTATTCGTTATTATCATTTATCCAAGTTTTTGTTTCTCGCGTATTGCGGAATAACACTCATTCAAAAATAGTTATTCTATCTCTGGATTTTCAACTATAATCATTAGACCGAAATTCATTATCGTTATTCATATTTCTTTTTACACCTCCCTTTCTCTGAAGCAAGTTTTAAGCTGTTTCCAGCTATAATTTTTTTTTATTTAACTAATTCAAATCTTCCATACAATTTTATTATTATTATCTTCTTTACAAATCGATACCTCATGGAATGCTTTATGAAAAAGAAACTAACCACTAAATTTCTTGTTTTCTTTGCTGCTATTACAAAAAATATTATTTAATTTTCATAAAATTAAGTTTATATATTTTTTCATCTATACAGGAAACGATTAATGATTCACACTAAATACATCATATGAACAAATATTTGGTCTCACTAAATTCTGAGGAAGATAAAAATGTAAAACACAGGGTGTGTTGCAATGTAAATAAAAAGTAAATATATATACATTATAAAAGAACATTTCTCGTGGTGTAACATTTTGCACGAACATAACTTTGGGTTCTGTGGCGTCATCTAGTAAGTATGTGTGGCATTACTGAAATTGTCGTTTTATTCAATCGAACTCATAGTTGAAACACCGACAGAGAATTGTTTGTTTGTTTGTTGTTAAGCACAAAGCTATATATTGGGCTATCTTTGCTGTGCCCCAACGGGTATAGAAACTCGGTTTCTATCATTATAAGCCGTCAGAGTTACCATTGAGTCACTGAGGCAACAGATAATGTAAAAATAATTTTTAACTTTATCTCATAATTTATAGAAAATTTAAACTATGTAGTAAATTTTTACTACGTGTTTACGCTATAAATATCAGTTATAGATATTGATAATCTTACTTGGCTTCATTATACTGGTTCATCATATTCCGCTTTAACAATATCGAAGATCTCTGAAGAAAAATAGGCTGAAACAGCTCAGTATCATAACAAAGTGATAAAATAGTAATGTGCTAAATAACACTATAAAATTGTCGTTGGATATAATTCACAGAGTGGTAGACTCACAGCTTCAGATATAAACTTCCTTTCTCTTTCAACTTTTGTAAAATCAAACGGTTAAAACTTCATATGCATATCGTTGTAACATGTTCTTTTCTATTATTTGGCAATAGTAATGCCAAGTCCAATCCATCTAACGATAACGAACTAATTCATTTCGTCAATAAAACGTTTGCTTGTAGGCCTAATTTTAATACAACGTTTCAACGGAAATTCCAAGACTAATTGGAGATTTAATTAATTTTGATAGATAAACAAACACGTAACTCACAGAGTAACTGGATAAAATAATAGACGCGATATCTCTCCCTTCTGACACTGAACTGACTCAATTAATCAGTCATTACTCATATTTATATAGTACCCTTGTTTTCTATGTATTAAACAAACCTTCTCGACTCTTAACTTTCATGTACTTTCTAGATCTTAGTGTCATCATATAAATGAGCTCTCTCTAGCAAACACCTAAATTAAAACATTAAAAATAGAGCTTACAACACTCCCTCCATTCTGAATTGTGAAGTCTCTTAGACAATCACAATACAAAACTAAAACAGTTTACTAAACTGTCCACATACCAATACGTTTTGTTTGTTTTCTTTTCCGAGGACTATGCTATACAGATTGAATGGTCTTTTGTCCTTTGTTATCACATACTATCCTGTCAAAGGGGGAGTTCTTCTTGATGAATTTCTGAATGCAGTCCCGAAAGGAACCCTAGACTATACAGCAGGTTGACTTTCTGCATGTAAGTTATTTTGTCAAATTACCTAAATGGTCATTCTCTCATCAATATACTTCCCGTCTTGTCAGCAATAACATCATGGTAACTTTTCATTTTATCTCCAGCTGATTTCACTCTTTCCCAGGTAAAGTTATTTTTGATATAAATGATATTCCTTAGTCTCTCTCTCTCTGCATATTTTGTGTAAAACTTTGCTGTTTGACCTTTCAGATGGAAATATAGAAAGTTCAATGGCACTTTAAGTTCACTCCCACACATCATTGATGATGTTGCTTTACCAATAACTTCATTTACTGCTATTTGTTAACTCATAAGTAGCAGAGGAAGATCTTGATCCCATATTTTCTGATGTTCATCCACATAAGTAGTTAATTGGTTT